CAGGTGCAAGGCGGGCGGGCTTGTCCGGGAGATTCACGCGCGGGGCAGGTGGAGGGCGTGGGGGGGAGTCCGGGAGATTCACGCGCGGGGCGTGGGGTGAGTCCGGGAGATTCACGCGCGGGGGGCTGGGAAGCGGAGAAGGCCGTACACGGCGCTAAACTTCTTAAGAGCAGAAAGTAAGTGGCTAAATTCCGAGCACCCTAAATAAAGCCGACTAGAAGAAAATGACTCGCGTTGGGCGAACGAAAGTCCTTCCCACTCTTGGAGACATTCTCCCCACGAGCGCATCCCATGAGCCATTTCCGTGGAACACACCCGGGAAACGGTCACCAGCACCCGCTCTGTGGGGAGCCGGGCTCCCAGCGCCCCGTGGGACAGACCCTGCGGTGACCGGCCCGGCTGTGACCTGGCCGCGATGTGACCAGAGCCGTGTGGTGACCCAACCGCACACGTGCCCACGACACACAGCCCCGCGGGGGGAGGGCAGGGGCCTGTCCAGGGTGAGCACCAAACTGCCCGGGAGCAGACACCGCGGGCACTGGACGGTTATGGATCCCTCAGTGTTAAAACCCCACTTCTAAAACCTTGAGCGAGGTCTCTGAGGTCCGAGTCACCTTCCCTGAAGCCGGCAGGAGCCTCGGGTGGCTGGGACACCAGCTCCAGGGATCCCCGGGCCATGTGCCCCACCGTCTGCAGTGGGGCTCGGTGCTTCCTTCCGCTGGGCAGAGGAGCCCACGGGGCACTGCTGGGCTCAGGAGGGGCCCGAGGACGCCTGGCCTTGGAGGTGCAACCGAGAAGCCATTCTAAAGATAAAAACCATCATGCGAGGTTGTCTAAACAAGAGAAATGTCTAACTGCGAACGCGGTATAGCGCTCAGCCCGTGTTTTCATGTTTAAGGTGCTCAGCTTCTAAAATGCTGATTAAAAACAAACAACACAACCACCTTTGCACCCTGTAAAAATAACAGGAGAAAAAATCAGGGGCGTGTTTTTCTCCCAAGGAAAACACCCTCGAGGGCTCAGAGACGTGCCGGCCGCAGATCCCGCTCCGTGACTTGGCAGTCGCACCAGAGCCTGATTCTTTCCACCCCTAGGACAACTCTTTATTTAAAGAACCACAGTGCGAACTTCATTAAAGGTAGTAACGACACTAAGGAGGCCAGTACTTACGCTCGACGGGTGCTGAACCGCAGCCTGGTGTTGCAGCCTCACCCGCTGGGGCATCATGACGTCATCCTGCAGTAAAGAACACACTTTCCGTTTGTTTGTTTGCACTGACTGATGGATGGGCTGCTACAGTCCCGCCTTATCGCCCAGGCTGGAGCGCGGCGCCACCATCACAGCTCGCTGCAGCCTCAAACTCCCGGCCTCAACTGAGCCTCTCGCCTCAGCCTCCAAACAGTTGGGATTACCGGCTTGAGCCACTACGCCCAGCCCCAAGAACATATTTTAAACTCACGTAAAGCAGTTCCTACTGGCAAGTAAGAAAACGATAGACAATCCAACAGCAAAACAGGCAAGGCCCTTGAACCGGCCATCAAGCAAGATTTCCAGTGGACCAAAAACCTCATCAGCCATCAGAGAAACGCAATTAGTTATGCAATGGAGAGAGAAAAATAACAAACGCTGACAATTCCAAGTGTACTTGGTTAGGCAGAACGAGAGCTCCTATGGACTGCTGGCTGCGGCGAGGACCTGTCACCACTGCTGAGGGGACCGTCTGCGGCGAGGAACTGGGGACCCTCTGTGGTGAGAACTGCCACCGCTGCTGAGGGGACCGTCTGGCATCTCCCAGCAAAGCGGAAGACAAGCTTCCCTAAGACCCTGACGTCTGACTACTTGCGTAGGAAAAGCCCCACTCCCACGCACAGACGTGCTGACGGCAGCGTGTTCACATGTGGAAAGAACCCAATGGCGAGAATCGCAGATAAATGAATTGTGCACGTTAGTTTTAAACGCCATTCAGCAGCTGAACACACCACGAATTTCACAAGCCTAATGTTCAGTGACAGAAGCAAGACACAAGAATATACGTGGTATTTTCCACTTATTTAAATTCAAAACCCAGCCAAATAAACCATATTATTTAAGAAATGCACACACAGTGTGTACCAGGGGTCCCAACCCCCGGGCAGTGGGCTGGTACCGGGCCATGGACCAGGCCACACAACAGGAGTGAGCGGCGGCCGGGCGAGTGTCACCAACGGAGCTCATCATCCTGTCAGAGCAGCGGCTGCCTTAGACCCTCATAGCAGCTCAGACTCCACTGGGACCTGCGCACGCGAGGAATCCAGGTTGCAGGAGTGAGCGGTGGCTGGACGAGCATCACGGCCTGAGCTGCCCTCCTGTCAGAGCAGTGGCTGCATTAGACCTTCACAGGAGCTCAGACTCCACTGGGAACTGTGCACATGAGGAATCCAGGTCACAGACTCCTTATGAGAATCTAACTAACGCCGAGGCCTGAGGTGGAACCGTTTCATCCCAAAACCATGCCCCCACCACGGGTCTGTGAAAACATTGTCTTCCACAAAACCTGTCCCTGGTGCCGAAAAGGCTGGGGACCACGGATATAAACCATAAAAGCAGCAACATTATAACCCTGAAGATCAGAAGAGCGGTCACTTTTTGAGGGGAAGTCGAGGTGGGGGCGTGGACGGGACAGTCCCCCTAAGGTGCCCGCAATAAGCATTTATTGATCGAGTGGTAGCTACACAAATATCTGCTTCATAATTAACTTGTAAAGTGGATATTTATGTTTTGTGCATTTTTCTGTGGGTATATTCTATCTCACGATAAAAAAAATTTTAAGTGGAAGAACAGCAAAGGTTTAAGTATATCATTTAAAGGCACAAATATACTCAACAGAAGAAATAAGAATAATGTCATTGGAAGGACATTTGTTTTTAAGCTGAACACTAAGATGAACTAAAAGACCCATATTTATGTCTCTTATTCCAGAAAAACCACCTTAGAACATTCAGATCATCCAAGAAACCTGAGGGACGTTGCAAGGAACCTAATGGGGCTGAGGAGAGGAGGCTGGGGACGGAGGGGAAGTGGGAGGAGGGAGGAGGGAAGAGGACAGAAGAGGAGGGGGTAGGAGGGAGGAGGGATGGAGGGAGGAGGAGAGGACAGAAGAGGAGGGGGAGGAGGGAGGAGGGTGGAGAAGAGAGGAGGGAGGAGAGATAGAGGGAGGAGGGAAGAAGACAGAAGAGGAGGGGGTAGGAGGGAGGAGGGATGGAGGGAGGAGGGAAGAGAACAGAAGAGGAGGATGGAGAGTGGAGGAGGGAGGAGGGAAGATGACAGAAGAGGAGGGGGAGGAGGGAAGAGGGACAGAAGGAGGAGGGAGGAGGGAAGAGGACAGAAGAGGAGGGTGGAGA